AATTTACTTAATAAATATAAACCCTAATTCAATGTAATGTTGGCTAAATAACCTTTTCAATAAGCAGCATTATATAATATACGTATAAGTTACAGGTTGAATGAAAAGTAACAGGATACAATAATCCTAATATGCACTCTATATGCTACATATTATAGTCCACCAAATAACTAGCATATTTGTATGTAGACTAATGATATAGATATGAGGAAATTTCATATCTTACTTATATATTTAAGTGATAGCATATAGGTATATATCGGGAATTTTGGGATATATGACAATTTATGTAATATATACTACGTATTAATATCCATCTATATACCACTATATATATATACATATGTATATACATATATATGTACATACATACTATAGATTAGCATATATCAGATATTGTTACAAGGTGATTCATATATTTAATAATATATACTCTAAAATATCAACTTTTATAATATAAAGCAACTCGCCAGAAGCATGACGTTGGTAATTTGGTTAATTATAATGTAAGGAATTATTATCAGGTTAGTAATATTATGTGCTCCTTTCTTGCATATAAGTGTCATAACCACCCTTAACTAAGTTACATCCTTTTTATAACTTTAAAAGACTAATAAGGCTTAAACAAATCTCACCTTATTGTATAGTGGCTTAATTTCTATCAGCCAAGATATATCGCAAATTGTCTAAGCCTTCAGCTCTAAATTATAAACTTGATTGACTATGATATCAATCTAGCTCGTAACAATATCAATATATTTCTATATCTGATTTAATTCAATCAGAGCAACTTTCAAAAATATAGTCACATAATTTAAAAATTACCATAGCGATAGCCACTTTCAGCTAATTCAACTAATTAATTCTTGAAATAATAATTAACATGATTATACAGATTATAACACAGCAATAGCTAATATTACCTACCCTAACCTTAATTTAAGCTATTGTTGTATTTGTACATAATACATACCGGTATATTTGTGTATATATATATAAAATATTTAGTTTACTACTCAGCATTGCTTAAAAATGTTGGGCTATATTATCTTATAATGTTTAAGCTAAATATTATTAACAAACTTTATAAAATTTTTTAGTTATTATGCGAAAGCAACATTTATTAGGCAGTATTAAAAAATAATTTATTATACTAAAGTCTCATCACAACTTACATTAATATTACAAACAAAACATATACTGTTATTATTTAGTAAACTAAAAAAAATGTATTACAATTTAAATTCTGAATAGTTTGCAACTTAATAACACCAAAAGAAACCAGATACTTAATTGTGACTTTACAATTGTATTTCTGGCTTACTTTGGTGCTATTCATATACAATACAAAATAACCATAATACTAAACAACTATATTAACATTATTTTTGTCTTTGAGAACAAGTTGCTCGATTATGGCCAATATCTTCACAGATTTTACAATGTAGTTTGCATTTTGCTCTTTTTGGTGGCTCATCTGCATGCCGCATTCTATCTGTACCTTTAGGCTATCTTTTTTCTTTATGTTTACGAGGATTTACTAATTCTTTCAGATCCAATATTCCTTTTTTGGTTGTACTATCTGACTCAACTTTATTATTTGAATCTATTTCACTATTACTAGTATTGCTATCACTATTAGAAGATATTTCTTTCTAACAATCATCTAAATATTTATCAAGAATCTTAATAAAATTGTAATCATGTCAGCGAACAGCCACCATTAAAGCTGCTCTTGCTTTACTCCATGCCTCTCCATATAGTTTATATTCATCTACAATTTTACAATTTCTATTCTGCACTTTATATATCATATCTTGAACTAGAGCATTAAGATAAGGAACTGAACTTTCACAACTTATTCTTACTGATTGTTCTAACTCAAATTTTTGTGCAATTAGAAATAGTTCTTGATCAGAGTTATTACTAGTTTCATTAAACTATCGTGACCATATTAATTTAATATGAAATGTTACAGTTTGTGTATATAGCATAACTTGATAGAAATGGTGACATATAATTCCATGGTTACAGTGATCAAGACAAGAGTATAAATGAGACCCATTATCCAAAAGTATTATGAAATGTCATATATCATTTGATGTAATATATCAAATTCCCCATATTTCAATAATGTTATTTTCATTAACAAGATTTAACATTGCTTTGGCAATAATATCAGTATAACTTTGGTTTTCAAATATAGCAGGATCATTAAAATTAATCTGCAATTACATAGTTAATTTAGGATTAGTATTAATATTAATGGTAAATATAACAATAATTATATTAATGTACTTTTTTAGAACACTTACTACATGATATCTTTGTAATTCACTTTGTGTTACTATTACAGCATGATATTGCAGCGATTGTTTTATCTGATCCTCCTAAATTTTTAATATTTCTACAGTTAAATACTTTGCAACATTTTGCAAATGTTTGGAAGAATACTATCAGCTGTTGCAACCAAGGCAGCTTTAGGAATTGATGCATGAAATAAAGCATAATCTGTTTTTTTATCTTCCTCAAGAACACATGCCATTAACTTGTCTACAAGTTCTAACATTGTTGTATTTGAATTAAAAATCAGCCTCTTAAGTTTTGAATTATAACTTTCCACTCGAGAGGTCGATGACATTCCTGCTGTAAATAATTTGAGTGCATATACTTTTGCCCATGATTCTTTTCTATTGTAAAGCCACAGTAAATAATTAACTACATTCACATTATTATACTTTTCAAGCAGTAATTTCCATCGATATTCAAAAATTAGAACAAATCCGATTTGCTGTACTTCAAAAAAATTCTTGACAAATTCATCATATTGATTTTTAAGATAATTTTTGAGATTGAAAGCGATGTTTTGTGCAATATGAAACATACAATAAAGTGCATCTGTAGTAGGAAATTCATCTCGTATAGCAGCAACTAGAGCGGGATCAGTGTCAGTAAAAATAACTCGTGGAGTAGCACCATGTGTTGCTTCTTTAATTTGTTGTAATATCCAACTATGCGTCTCCTTGGTTTCATCATCTGTCAATGCCTATGCTACTAATCTGGAGGATAAATGGTTATCGACCACCAAAAAAAGTGACAATGCCATTTCATACCAATTAGTAGCACTGGTATTATCATTTAAAACAACGTCACAATATTCTAACCATCATTCAATTTGATCTGGAGACATATAGAACAATCGTCTAAGACACTTGCTGTTTGAATCCCAATCTACCTGAACATACCATCTGGGATCAGCCTCCTTCTTATTTAGCAATTCTTCATATAATTTGCTAACATCATTTGTTTGATCACATAGTTTTGGATGAAACTGTTAAATTACTCGGCGTAATACAAGCATATAGATTTTGGTGAAATATTTCTCCTCCAAAGCTTTGCGAACTTGCTGAGGACTGCAGTTCATAGTTTTTATGTAAAATTCAACATCTTGAATCATCTTTGTGGTAAACTCTATATTTTCCTGAAAATTGTAACGCAATAGGTCAAGATCGTGATTTCTATACTCATCAACTAATTTAGTAATGCATATGATCTTGTGAGGATTTTCTTTCTCTGGGCATGACAAATTTATTTGCCAAGTGCATCCAACACACTTAGACGTAGTTTCTTTTTTTGGATCCTTGCTTTTTGTTATTTCAGGTTGGCCAAAGTGTTTACAAACTAACGTACACCTTCGAATATCACCATTCTTAAGCTTTTCCATATGATAACAACGCATCTTAAATCCCTGCCTTTTTTCATACATTTTAACTTCTTTCAATACATGGTTCCAGTCACAAAAAATCATACCTTCTCGCAATTCACTGTATTGATTGCTTTCAACATTCTCTATATTATTGCGTTCATATTCATTTTGGGTTATATCACATAACATATTACTACTAACATTAAATCCAACATTATTGTTATTGTGTAGTACATCAAACTCATTATTCACATAATTCCAGTCACAGAAGGTTGTATTCGTCTGATGTTCCACCTGGTAGGTGCCTGTATTACCTATAAAGTTGTTCTCCGTTTCATGGTAATTTCCACATAGTTCATCAATTCTATTAGCTATAAGGTCCCAGTCCCAAGACACTTAAGCGTCTTCATGGTAGGTACTTTCAGAATTCATCATAACATTATTTTCGTATCCAACTTGATTATCATTATATAAAACGTCGTTACTAATACCAATTCCGTTTATTTTATTGTTCCGATCATCAAACCTCATGTTTGTTTGAACATTCATGTGGTATTTGATTGATTGATTTGCAATACGTCGTTACTATTGTCGAGTCAACTTGGTTACAATTTCCTTCGTGAAGGTATTAAACGTGGTAGAAAATATAAAAAAGTAATCAAGCTTAATTGATTTATTTTTTATTTATACTGATCGACATATTTTATTAAACTTTTAAATTACATCATAAGAAAAGATCGCACTACGGTGCTATAGCAAAATAATTTATTAAACTTTTTAATTACATCATAAGAAAAGGTAGCACTACGGTGCTATAGCGCCAATTGCTATGCACTATATTAATATTCCCTTAAATTTTTTAATAATAAATATATAATACAGTAATATCTATCAAAGTATGTATTTAGTTTTAGGCCTTTAAATTTTTATTATGAAAAGTCTGACTAAAAATAACCAGATTCAATTTTATACTAAGATGCTTGCACCATAAGTGATAAAAGGTCATGTTTTTAAGTAAAAGTTTCGAGTAGATAAGTCGTTTCACATTATTTAATTTCAACTAATTTAATGCATTTTGGTTATTTTGAGAATTGCACGTTAAATGAAGTCTAGAATATACAAACTAAAAAAAAAAATATTCTTTATTCTATGTTTCAAAAAGTTTAATTTCTATATTTTTTATAATAACTATTATTAGTGCTAAGCAGGTTATTAAGAGTAATACAAAACTTAGTGTATAAATGTTAGAAACAGATAAAAATTATAAAAAACATTTATTTGCAAATTATAACAATTAATCATATCCTGACACATCCCAAAGCCTTAAAACTTCATTGTAATCTTTCTTTCTTCTCTTTCTGATCGAAAAATATCCCATTCCTCTCGGTCTTGATTTATTAACCAATACTTCCGGATTTTCTGGAAGGCCAAGTTCATTCACCGCCAAATTTTGTACTTTCACCCTAATATTTTCACGTATACTTTTGATATGGTCATATTCTTCTTTGGGAAGTAAAAGTAATTTTGTGAGAGAGAGGGAAGATCTTGCAGCTTGAAATAAATCTTCTGTCCAACGAATGGTTAACCACATTAATAGAGGGATTAACCATGAAGTTATAAATGCGAATGGTAGTGTTAAGAATACTGCGATTGTATAAATTGGGACAATTAATATTGTAGCAATAAGCAATTTATATTGGGTTATTTCATCATAATTATCTTCCTTGGGCAGTTTACGAATCTGATATTCTTTGTACCTAATAGTGCAAAAATGAAAATATTAGTTTATACTATAGATAACGGATTATTGTCGTAGCTGAAGTTGATATTAGCTGAAGCTGAGCTAACTTTGGTTGAAGCTAAGATTTGGTTTCTATCTAAGTATAATAGTAAAAATCTTACTAACTTTACGCATGTAAATATAGGTAGCCAAAGTATTATTCCTACTGAAGAGATAGTGGCAAGAATTGAAGCCCAAATTACTCGTATAAATATACGCCCAATAAGCTCAAGTTTTGACAGTGGAATAGCACGACTGAACCGATAGTCTTTTATTCCGTGTGAATCAAGAAGGTCTTGATATGCCTTTTAAGCATCGCGAATGCAAAGAAATGTTTGTTAAAAAATTTAACCAATTTCTCGAATTTCAATTAAAGAACGCTTACAGTCAAATCTCTCGATAAAATATTAATGTCAACACCCTGATGTGTAATCTTTTCTTTGAGTGCTGGATCATCCACATGCAAAACATTGCTATCAACGCGTTCAACAATAATTTCCTTATTTTCATCATCAATTTCATTACTTCCGTTGAATTGACCTTCTCCACTGGATTCTTCACTTGTTTTTGCGAGTGCATCGATGAATTTTTTCGTTAAACGAACATACTCCGCTAAAGATATTCGAGTACCAAGATCACCCGCATACAATTTTCGCGCGGTATGTGCTAGTTTTTTAATAAAGAGACTAAGTTTGTAGTAAATTATTATATTAAAAATTATATAATTATTGATTAATGAATGAAATATACCTATCCTTAAAGTTTGCCAGTCAGGAGAATCAAGGGTGTTTGAGCGAACCGTTTCCTCCATGACAGATGTCAATTCATTTATGGCTTGCTCACTGGTTCGTTTTTTACCATCTGAAGTAATGGTTTTCAGAAGGGCTTGATGTTGTGGTGTAAGAACAATCGGTGGATTAAATTTAACCAAAACATTCGATCGAAATTTTTCGCGACGAATGTATACTAATGAAGCTGTCAATAAGTTAATTGAAAAGTCTGGTTGATCTTTGTTACGAGTCAAAGTCTTGGAAATAGTAGAATGAAATATATATATAAGCCATATATTGCATAGCAGAATATATTAAAATAGATCATTAAGGCTCGTTTACCTCACTAGCAATCACTATGTGGCCATAAATATTTAAACAGATATTAATTAAAAATAGTCTTTATAATGTGATAATCTAAAAAATGGCTGCTCATTACATGCTACACCAGGTTTAAAGGGTGCCACCTTGCTATGATATCGACTAATTCCTTCCGGAAACATGCAAATACAATCACCTTGTTCTAAACACTATTTATTGTACAAATATTAGTATCAAGAAATTATTAAATAATGAGTTATATAATTCAAAAATACCCCTATTAGTATTTCAAATGATTCCGAATTATCAACTTTAGCAAAATTATAATCCTTATATGGTGAGATTCAAAAGTTCTGTAATCAGTACTAACATAAATAAATCAACTTGTAATAAAGAGCAAAATTCAAATACCTTAGTTCGTTTAATAGGTACTGTGCCTAAACTTCTGATCAGTATACTGTAAAGTGGGAAATAATTATTTGTTGATAATTACTGTATATTTCATGGCAATATACATATCTATACTTTTTTTTTTATTTTTTATTTTTTTTTACCTAAACATATCCGTTTTATACCAAAATGTATCTTTTGCAGTCAGTCGAACCTGAATATTTTATGAAAATTTAAGTCCTAATTCATCAACATTATTAACAATTGTAAACAAATACCATATCTCGTTTGTCTTTTGGTATAGCGGCTAAAAGACAAATAGGATCGGTCAAAGAATTTGCATGATTTGGGCAGAGGATAGTTGGACATCCATCTGGAGGTATATATTCTAATCCCTCTACTTCAATTGCGTAAAATGCATTTGCCAAAATTTTAAACAAAAATCTCACAAAGCGATAAGCTAAGGGTGCCATTTAAAAAGTATCATTAATGAATCCAAATGTCAGAACACTAGATTCAGTCGAAAAAATTAAAATTATGATTACAGGATTAATAATATATATTTCATATATATATAAAAAAATATATTACATTAATAAAGATTTTTAACGGTAATAATCACGATGCGTGGGATACAAATATTAATGCACAAAATTTGGGGACAGGGTTAAAAAAAAGAAGCGATGTACAAAAAAGTGTTGACTAACATCATCATTTGAGCGGATCATTAATGTTGCAACGTTGACATGGATTTTTATTTGCTTAGCACCTATACCCTGTGATAAGGTATAATCTATCTAGATTGCCACAAGTCATCTGTGCTATTTTACAAATGGTTCAGGTGGTCTTGAAACGAATGATTATTGGTCATTTTTGAGTATCGATATTGAATTTCAAATAATTATATTACAGCGTTTTCGAGAACGAATCGTATACAAAACAGATTTTTTTTTTTTATATTTTTAAGTCATGATTTATAATTAAAAATAATTACATTATATTTACAAGTATTCTATATAGCATAAAATTACAATTTTCACTTTTTACCCTTCCGAAATTTAACTATCTTTAATCAAATTGAATCTTCAATTCTTTATAAATGTAAAGAAAATCAATTATGGAAAAATTCAATGATTAGTAATGGAGTTATAAAACACATTCTGCCAATATTTTTGCCTGTGTATTATAAAAAAGAAAGTATCGAGCGATTCTAATGATACTGAGTTACAGTTTTCCTAAGGAATGCAGTGTGTCATGTAATTGTGCCTGCTGAATGATGACGCCTTTCGTCGAGCTTTTCATATACTTATCTCTAAATTGAGCGTTAAAACAAGTACATGAAAGGTTACTTTACGTGGATTGCACGGAATAAATCAGTTTATATCATGGGTAACAGTGCACGAAATTGGGCATAACGTGTTCTGATTTTTTCAACCGGGTTAAATCGCCACCTAAAAAAATTTCAGGTCATGCAATTTACATCATTCATATATTCAAAAAATTTAATACAGTAGTTAATGGTTAATTATTCTTTCGCTTTTACCGAGGTCGGCTAAAACGGAGTGGATTCAATATATGGAGGTGAGTCAATAGAAATCAAGCAAATTTTTTTTATAATAAATTTTTTTTATAACTTTAAAAAGAATAACTTAACAAAACCTTGACCAAATTTAATAAAAATTTTTTAAATAATTTTTACAAACATGTAGAATTAATTTTAAAAAAATTTATTAAATTTGATTAAGTTTTTGTTAAGTTATCCTTGTTTAAAGTTTTTAAAAATTTTATTAAAAAATATTTTGCTTGGTTTCTATTGACTCAAACCCATATGATCCTACATACTGCATAAATTGCATTCTTGATATTTATATATGAAAACCTGCCTAACTTCATCAGAAGATAATTCTAACCCTAACTCCGCTTTAGGGATGCGTCGGTCCGGTCCCGGTTCTAGTGGACCATTATCATAGTATTTTCATTCCCGGTCCGGTCCCAAAACGGTCCTGCAATGATTACATCATATTTTAATGATGAGATTTTATTACTTACTGTTAGATGTAAACAGCATAGCGGGCTTTTGAGATTTTTATTACTTACTGTTTGATGTAAACAGCATAGCGGGCTTATATGATAAAGTCTTATTAAAGGCAAGAATGAATTTGGTGCCACGAAAATAAATTTGGCAAAGATGCCAAATACTTTGTAAATGCTTATTCTTGATAGCAAAGATAATAAATTATTATTTAATAAATACATATATATATTGAAAATTTAGAAAAACACCAGATATAATACCCGCCTTAAACTTTATTAATACCTGAATGAATTGATATATGGCAGCTTTAAACACATAAATATTATATATAAGTAATAGGACCAGGATTTTAGATTATATAACTATTTATTTATAGCCAAAACTTATTAGTGCTTAACAAGATTTAATTAATAATATTGTATATTGGTATATATTTTGCTAGTTGGTATTGTATTTAGTTTTTTTTTGATACTTTGTTTATTTTTATAATCTAAATCATAATTTATTTAATTTGAAGAATATTTTTTTTTAAACTTTGATTAGTATATTATTAATAATTATTAATTTAATTGTAAAGATTTTATTTCAAAGTAAAGTCTTGCAAATAGGTTAAAGATACTAGTATTAAAAAAATATATTAATTTTTAATAAATTATTTTATAATTTAAGTCAATTAGTGTAGAATCTAGATAAACTACTTAAATAGATAACCAAAAGTTGTATATATATCATATGTTGAAATGGAATTATTGTAGATTTAGAATCTACTTAGATTGAAGCGAAATTCAAAATGTAACACGAAATTTAAAAGCAATCTAAGTCTAAATTTGATAATTATTAATTTAATATCAAGTTGATTTTAATTTCAATACTACAATAAATATGTAGTTGATTAATATAATAATTGTTAAATAAATTGTATCATATTGTTATTAAAATTGTCAAGATAAAATACAAATTTTTTATTATATTATTATTTAACTTTTTTATCCTTTGCAGAAAGAAACACTCTATCTAATAACCAAATCTCAAGATTATTTATTTTTGCCTTATAATGCATTTGAAAAAATACTTTCCAAATATCTTAGCAGCAAATTGACTAATAGTCAATATAAAATCTTTATAGCATGTGAAGACTTTGATTTTGTATTAAGGTTTTATATAGATCTAGCAAATGCAAGAAAGCAATCAAAAGACACTCCCTCACAAAATTTATTTTGTTTGGATACAAATCAGATATTATTAGATTACTTATAAGTTTCTAGAATTAGATACTGTAATATAGTTAACCCTAGATATATAAATATTTCTATAATGACCTTCAAATATAACGAACACAAAAATTTAGTATAATAAATTTTTTTCAACACATGTAAGCATTTAAGAAGTGTTCATTATACAATAGTAGATAATATTAAATGCAAATGCAAAAAACGCAAGTGAAAAACCATTGTAAATAAAAAAAAACATATACTCTGCAAAAATATTAATTATAGATATAAAAACTTTATGTAGTGCTTTTAAATTTAATTAATAAATAAATTTTGTCTTAAGCAACTTAAATTTCAAAACAAAATACTTGATGAAATAATTTGGAATACACTTAATTTTAGTGTAGATTGAATTGGAATTCTTTATCAATTCAGTCACATTTTAGAATTTTATTATAACCTATGTTTATTTGGAAACAACCTAAGTAAATTCTAAATCTATAATAATTCTATTCTGATATACAATATATATAATTAGTTATACTTTTATCATAATTGTAAATGTTATTAATTGTTTAATAAAAAGCTCCTAGCTATAGAGGTTATCTTAATACTAAAAAAAAAAAAATAAAATAGTCTAAAAATATCAAAAAAATATAATCTAAATAATTTAAAAAGTTAGAATTTTAGTAATATTGTTTTTTTAAAAAATAATTAATTTAGTTTAAGTTTTGAAAGTTGTATTAAAATTATTTATAAAAATAATTTAAAAATTAGTATTTGAAATAAGAATTGTATTTGTTAAATTTTTTTTTAGATTTCAATTTTTTAAATAAAGTAGTAATTTGTAATAAGTATATAGTATTTAAAAAAGATTAATATAAAATATAAATTTTTTATATTTTTTAAATTTTATCTAATAAATTTAAAAGAATTTTTGTAAATAATATTTTTTAAAATTATTTAAATAAGAGAATATAACTCTTCCTATAGATTACTTTTACCAAAATATAAACAAGAAGAAAAACCTTTTCCGCAAGATTATTTCAAAAACCTACTAAGTAAACAGTTATTTGGCTTTTAAATAAAGTTACTTAGACTCTTTAGTTGTACTTAAAAGAGGTGTATTTTCTTTAAAAAGCTCCTTCCTTATCAAGTAAATAACAATAAACTCGTTAAAAGACAAGAAACCAGTTTTTCTATCTTCCTGTGAAAGTGGTCATAAAGATAGCCAACATTTAAACAGCCTTGCTTCAAGCACTACCAACCTGCTATACAAAAACACCAAGAACTACCACAATACCCAAATTACTAAACCTCAGCCCCTAGCAAAAATATGACTTCCAAAAGCTTCTCTTCTTTCTTTAGCTATTTTTTCCCATCCCGCAAACCTGCGCAACCTAGTGACAAACTATCTGACATCATACCACCAATCCCAGAAACAGAACACACAAAAAATTTTATTAAAATTACTATTAAAGATTGGTCCAAACTCATCTTTATAGTCAGCTTCTCCATTCCAGAACACGCCAACGACTTTCTCTTCTACATTGATATTACCAAATCAGGAAGAATCTCAAATTTGGCAAATTACCCTCTCCAATAGATTTGCAAACATGAAGATATTATCTAATCAGTTCTTTTCAATCTCACGATACAGAAAAACAACATTGTCAACATTAGTACCAAATTCCCCAAATCAACCCGCACTTGTGACCTTAATACAACTATACAGATCTACGAAGGTAGTATGAAACCATACACCAAGGCTAAAAGTATTTCAAAATCTCATACAACTCTATTACACAAAACAAATCTGACAAAAAGTCTAACAAAAGCAACAGTGAACACAACATATACCCCTTAGCCCTCAAGAAACTGGTACTACCATATGATCTAGCTAGTGACCAAACAAACACAAGTACAGCTACAAACAGTAATACAGACAAAGATACAAACCTCTACCCAACCATCACCATATCTCTAACCAATACCGCCAGTGATACTATTACCACTACCCACCCTATACCCAGACCTAGCACACCTCCAGGCCAAATTACTATACCCAACACTAGTATCAATTGTAAAAGAACTCAAAATATATCACTATTAATTTCAACCTCCAACAAGGCTGCCAAAGTGCTTTCAGGTAGCTCTTCTACTACCTCCAGACCTCCTACAAACAACCAGGCTTTCACAACCAAATTATCATAAACCAAGTCACCAA